AGAACTGTGGGTAGCAAGCAAGTTGCTTTTTGTGATCCTGTGGAATTGTATCAGGAACTTCATAATATTGAAAACTGTGGGAAGCTGAAGCGAGCAGATTGGGAGATTGTACAGGAAGTTTTCAATTATTTCAGTAAATCTGGGTGGACAGCCAATCAGTCTCTTGCAATTTACACTGGCAGGTCATTTTTCCCTACTGCTGTTCATAAGTTTCAAAGCTTTTTCTTTAAGAAATGTTCTGTTGTTGTTGCTAAGCTCGTGATATCACTTGGTCCATCTGATGCTGCTGTTAAGTTTCTTTTCCCTATATTTGTGGAGTTTTGTATTGAAGAGTTTCCCAACGAGATCAAGCAGTTTCAAAGTATGATTCAATCAGCTGATCTTAGAGCCATGTACATGGTTTCCCCTTGCACTGGTAATGAAGCATAAGATTATTTATCATTGTGGCCCAACAAATAGTGGCAAGACTTACAATGCTTTGTGGCGGTTTATGAAGCAAAGAAGGGTATTTATTGCAGTCCACTTAAGCTATTGGCTGTGGAAGTTTTTGATAAAGTGAATGCACAAGGAGTTTACTGTAGCCATCACACAGGGAAAGAACAGAAATACGTCCCGTTAGCGTAGCAATTGGCATGCCAAAAGTTTCAGCTAAAAATAATGCAGAACTCCTGGATCATGAGACTAAACACCAAGTTTTATCTATGTATCTGTGGCTATCTCACCACTTCAAGGAGGAAACTTTCCTTGCGTGAAAAAAGCAGAAGAAATGGCTATTGATGATGCTGAAAACCAGAATCGAGACATGCAAAGAAACCTATGCCTCAAGAGAAGGAAGAAGGATATTAGAGACAAAGGTCACATATCAAGTTACGTGAGACGTAAGTCTCTTGCAATTAAAATAACCACTTGGATTATTCCAGAATAAGAAACACGGGATGGGATTCCAGTTTTAATTATGTTATATTGTTTATTACTTTCTACTGTTGCTTTCAGCTAAATGTAAAAATTTATATTTGGCTATTTTTTTCCCTTGTGATTAACCCTCCATGCTAATAATTTGGTATTCTCCCCGCAGGAAAAGGCAAGATGAATCTCCCTGCAGTAATTGTGAACCAAAAACCATAAATTTTTCATGAAATTTTGAAAAATTCGGTCTCTAAGGTATTATCTGGTGTAGCAAAGATTTGGCCCTTTTCATACATGAATTCCTTTGATGAAAATTTTACTGAAACTGAACCTATACCTTCTTATTCGCTTAGGAAAGGATAAGGGCCAAGTCAAAGTCAATCAGTGCTGCACCATCTTTCCCTTTCTTGAAGAAAATTTGGCTACAATGTGAACAATGAGGCAGGGAGAGAAGACAATGAGAAACTTGCCTGAGTTTTCTAGGCTAGCAAAAGAGTAAGAAAAGGCCAGGAAAGTATTGAAGTAAATTTCATTAGCCAAGAAGCATGGACCATATGAAAAATTGTTCCCACGGTAGGACCTTTATCGACCTGTTGCTGTTATGCTGCATTTTCACCATAAATGTGCAATATTTCTAGGTTAGAAAAGTCATTGTTGACTATTCAAGTCATTACACGCAATTTGCTTGGTACCGTGACTTAGACTAAAAAACCTCCTATAAATTTCATACAATTATCTATAATTGTTGACAAGTTGTGAAAAATATCAATGTTCTATAATTGATTCTTCAAATAAGCTCAACCATTGCTTCATTCTCGATCACTTTCATAATCACTTTCAAACAGGTCTCCGATGAGTTTCTTCATCAACTAAGGCCTTGAGCGAAGCCACTTGGAGAAATTTCATTGTTGCCTCATGGATCCTGAAATGTGGAAGGAAAAGGGTGCAAATGAATCATATTCTTCACATCATGCATGCTGACAATTAGGGTTAGATTGTTCTACCATCTTAGATCTCATGTTAAGCTTCAATTTTAAATCGGAAAGAATTATTTGTTTCTTTGTTTTTTTTTTTCCTTTTTAGCGATCACTCATTGTGTTTGGTAACATTTTATTGCCATAAAATCAAAGATTTCAATTTTCAAAACTTTGTACTATATTATTCCAACATCATCTCATATATCATCATTGACTTACCACAATTGTATAAGAGCAAAAACATGAATGATGAGCTTCAACTTTAAATTGAAAAGAATTATTCGTTTCTTCATGCTTTTTTTTTTCTTGCCTCTTTGTCATCATTCATTGCGTTTGGCAATTGTAGTATCATAAAATCAAAATTTTCAATTTTCAGGGGTTTTTACTATATTGTACCAACATCATCTCATATATTATCATTGGCTTAATTACCAGAAGTGTGTGGGAGCATAAACATTTCTATCGAGATGGTTTAAATGGCATTATTAAAAACCTTTTTTCAATGATTATAATAATTAATTTTAAATCAATTAAAGCTAACGTATAATAGAGAATTGTTAAAATAAATTATCCATCCTCTTATTATCAGTTAATTTTAGGTTGAATTCCCATCATAAAATTTTCTACCTGGGAGAGGAAGTGAGATTCAAAGCAGAGAATTGGAAAAGGAAGAGATCTTAGAAATTTCTTTGCAATTAATGTATAGAAAACATGAAAGGACAGACCTTTAGTAATCAGTTATCTTTCTTTCTAAAGTCTAGAAGTAGGAAAAATAAAAGGTTAGGAAGTGCAGAAGAACAAGCACCAAAATACAGGAAAAATCAAAGTCAATCAGTGCTGCAGCCTCTTTCCCTTTCTTGAAGAAAATTTGGCTACAATGTGAACACCGAGGCAGGGAGAGAAGACAATGAGAAACTTGGCTGAGTTTTCTGGGCCAGCAAAAGAGTAAGAAAAGCCAGGAAAGTATTGAAGTAAATTTCATTAGCCAAGAAACATGGACCATATGAAAAATTGTTCCCACGGTAGGACCTTTATCGACCTGTTGCTGTTATGCTGCATTTTCACCATAAATGTGCAATATTTCTAGGTTAGAAAAGTCATTGTTGACTATTCAAGTCATTACACGCAATTTGCTTGGTACCGTGACTTAGACTAAAAAACCTCCTATAAATTTCATACAATTATCTATAATTGTTGACAAGTTGTGAAAAATATCAATGTTCTATAATTGATTCTTCAAATAAGCTCAACCATTGCTTCATTCTCGATCGCTTTCATAATCACTTTCAAACAGGTCTCCAATGAGTTTCTTCGTCAACTAAGGCCTTGAGCAAAGCCACTTTGAGAAATTTCATTGTTGCCTCATGGATCCTGAAATGTGGAAGGAAAAGGGTGCAAATGAATCATATTCTTCACATCATGCATGCTGACAATTAGGGTTAGATTGTTCTACCATCTTAGATCTCATGTTAAGCTTCAATTTTAAATCAGAAAGAATTGTTTGTTTCTTTGGTTTTTTTTCCTTTTTAGCGATCATTCATTGTGTTTGGTAACATTTTATTGCCATAAAATCAAAGATTTCAATTTTCAAAAGTTTGTACTATATTATTCCAACATCATCTCATATATCATCATTGACTTACCACAATTGTATAAGAGCAAAAACATGAATGATGAGCTTCAACTTTAAATTGAAAAGAATTATTCGTTTCTTCATGCTTTTTTTTTTCTTGCCTCTTTGTCATCATTCATTGCGTTTGGCAATTGTAGTATCATAAAATCAAAATTTTCAATTTTCAGGGGTTTTTACTATATTGTACCAACATCATCTCATATATTATCATTGGCTTAATTACCAGAAGTGTGTGGGAGCATAAACATTTCTATCGAGATGGTTTAAATGGCATTATTAAAAACCTTTTTTCAATGATTATAATAATTAATTTTAAATCAGTTAAAGCTAACGTAAAATAGAGAATTGTTAAAATAAATTATCCATCCTCTTATTAATAGTTAATTTTAGGTTGAATTCCCATCATAAAATTTTCTACCTGGGAGAGGAAGTGAGATTCAAAGCAGAGAATTGGAAAAGGAAGAGATCTTAGAAATTTCTTTGCAATTAATGTATAGAAAACATGAAAGGACAGACCTTTAGTAATCAGTTATCTTTCTTTCTAAAGTCTAGAAGTAGGAAAAATAAAAGGTTAGGAAAAATACAGGAAAAATAAATTTGTTTTTTTTTTTAAGAGAAAAATAAAATAAAATTGTTCTTTGTCCATCCCATCGAGGAAAAAATTCTCCAATTTGATTCAATGGATTCTATTTTCCATTGCAAGTCAATGGACGTGAAAGCCACGTATGGTTTGCTATTACTGAGAAGTAACTTGTATTATTACTAATTGGTGGAATATAGAACATTTCACAGGTTAGAAGTCATCACATTTAATATGATCCTTTGGAGGAGTCTATCTCATTTGAAAGATACAACACTTTAAAAAAAGAAAGAAAAGACTTTGACTCAGAAATTTGGCTATTTTTTATTATTATTCTTTTGTTTTGTTTAGTTTAGGCAAGACTTGAACTCTTAATGTTTTCATGTAGCAGACTAAAATCTACTTTTTTATATTTTTGAATTTTAATATAATTTTCAATTATCAAAAAAGAGGACAATTAATAGAAACAATGTCTAAAACATTTTAAAAGACAAAATTTTCGGTTTTTACATAACATTTCATCTGTGGTATTTACCAATAACAGCTTAGTATACATAAAATAAATTTGGTAACATTCCAGCCAAAAAAAAAAAAGACAAAAACATGCAAATTGAAGATATTGTATGGTGGAGAAGGAAGGGCTAGTACATGTTGTCCTTTCTTTGAACTAACATATATCTTATCATAAGTAGACTTTAAGTAAATATCCAAGAAAAAGCTAATCCACATTGGATCATTCTAATTATTAGCTTTTAGAGAAAAGATGAAAATGTTCTTTGCAAACTTTTTAACACAATGCTACAATATGTGAAATGATCTTGTTAATTTGGCTCATGGGACAGAAATTCTCCATTTGATCCAACGTGTTTTCTTTTCTATTTGAAAAATAGTTTCAATAATAAACATGTACTCCTGTTTCAATGGAAAACGTATTGAAAATGTGCTGTTACAGGTACATGTTTTGCTTCCTGGTAGTGAGAAAAAAAAAAGAAAGATAAAAGATAAAAAATTGGCTGCCTTAAAATTTAAATAGCAAGGGATAAGATGAGTGTTTTTTCTCACGTTGAATCTAACTTGACATTTTAATTATTTTACTTGAATATACTCTATCTTAGAATCTTGTTATTATTTTTAACATTTAATCTCAACCCCAAAAATATATGTATAACTTGAATTTGATTCGAATATTTAAAATTTAATTTAATATATTTTTTATAAAAAAATCATTTTTAATATAAATTACATTTTAATTTTAGATAAAAAAACTTTAATTTTATGGCCAAAAAAAAAAAAAGAAAAGAAAGAACAGCTGAAGTACTAAAATCAAAGTGAGGATTGAGTCTTTTAGATCGGTAAATATTTTTACCTTATGCATTTTAAAGATTAGCTAGCAACGGAGAAAGATGCTTGTCTTTTTCAAGTAATCTAAACCCGGTATTGCAGTCTATGCACCAAAGTGCTGGGAAAATGCATTATTCATATGTATAATTCCATGACATCCACAGAAAAATCAATGACACCGACTGACAAAAAGTAGAAGAAGACCTCGACTACTCCATCTTCAAATAAATTCATTACTCACTGGAAATCATAACATGCTACAACTGAACCTTACCAGATATTCAAGCTAATAGACATGGCCTCATCCTTAACCAATTCCATTTTTCTAGGGGTGGTGTGGAGTACCATCCTTCTTTCCTTTGCTACAACCCTGTTAGCCGCAGTATCTTCACTGGAATCAGAAGCTGTGGCTCTGCAAGAGAGTGGCTGGTGGAGTAACTATAGCAACGATATTTCACAACGTTGCAAGTGGCACGGTATTTCATGCAACAATGCAGGAAGCATCACCAAAATTAACCCATCTGCTGACTTGATTCCAGTTGGTGATAGATTTGGAAAATTGAATTTCTCTTCGTTTCCAAATCTTGTTCTTCTTGATCTTAGCCATCGTAGAATTGGTGGAACTATCCCACCTCAGATAAGTGATCTATCCTCATTGAAGCACTTGGACTTGTCCTATTGTGAGTTATCTGGTGAGTTACCTTCTTACCTAGGAAACCTAACCCAATTAGAGTTTCTTGACATGTCCCATAATGATAACATTAATGGTTCCATCCCTCCACAACTAGGGAATTTGAAAAACCTTGTTAGTTTAAATTTGAGTAGGAATCAGTTTGCTGGTCCAATCCCTTCTGCTTTGGGTCAATTAACCAATCTCAAATCTCTGGTTCTTTGGGGCAACAAAATTAATGGATCCATCCCATTAGAAATTGGATATCTAACAAATTTGATTTATTTGGATTTCTATGGCAACATGCTTGTTGGTTCAATACCTATTACTCTGTATCAATTAACCAATTTGGCAACTCTGTACCTTGGTTATAACCAACTTGAAGGGTCCATACCTCCAAATGTTGAAAACCTAAAGAACCTAAGTACTTTCGACATCTATAATAATAGATTCAGAGGTTCGATTCCTCCAGCTCTGTGGCATTTGACAAACTTGCTCTCACTTTTCCTTGGAGAAAATCAAATCAGTGGTTCAATCCCTTCTTCTATTGGTAATTTATCAAAATTGCAATATCTGTTCCTCGATTCAAATCTTCTAGAAGGTCCTATACCAAAAGAAATTGGGAATTTAGAAGCACTATATCAATTAGACACCTCTGAAAACAAATTGAGTGGTTCAATCCCTTCTTCTATTGGTAATTTATCAAAATTGCAATATCTGTTCCTTTATTCAAATCTTCTAGAAGGTCCTATACCAAAAGAAATTGGGAATTTAGAAGCACTATATCAATTAGACACCTCTGAAAACAAATTGAGCGGTTCTATACCTTCACAAATTGGGAGTTGCTTAAATTTGCGGCGGTTGGATCTAAGCAGCAATAATTTAGAGGGGGAGATCCCTTCTCAAATAGGCAAGCTTTCAAAGCTAAAATTTTTAAATCTCAGCTACAACAAACTCATAGGTGAAATTCCTATCTTGTCTGCCACTACTCTTAAGAGTTTTTGTACCACTAATGGTTATATAACTATCTATCCCCATCCATTTGAAGGTAACAAGGCTTTATCACCCTACCCCTGTTTTTCACCAACCAATCAAACCAAGAGCAGTAGAACTCCTTACTTCACGAAAATATTCCTCCCTATTGCCATATTCCTTACTTTTTCTATTCTAGGGAGTTTGTTTTTGTGGCGGTTCAAGGCCAAGAAGAACCAATCTGGTTCACAAACAAAAAAAAATGGGGATTTGTGCTCAATATGGAACTTTGATGGAAGGATAGCATATGAAGATATTATTGCAGCAACAGAAGATTTTGATATTCGATACTGCATTGGAATTGGGGGTTACGGAAGTGTTTACAAAGCACAACTACCTTGTGGCAGAATAGTTGCTCTGAAAAAACTCCATCACCTAGAGGCTGAGGATCTGGGTTTCGACAAAAGTTTCAGGAATGAGGTAAAAATTTTGTCTGAAATTCGACATCGAAGTATTGTGAAGCTTCATGGATATTGTCTACACCGTAGGTGCATGTTTGTGATATATGAATACATGGAAAGAGGAGGCTTGTTCTGCATCCTAAGTAATGATGATGAAGCTGTGGAGTTGAATTGGGTAAAAAGGGTTGAGATCATCAAATCGGTTGCTCATGCCTTGTCTTACTTGCACCATGATTGCTTCCCTCCAATTGTTCATCGAGACATTTCAAGTAACAATATTCTACTAAACTCAAGCTTGGAGGCTTTTGTTGCTGATTTTGGAACCGCTAGAATGCTACATCTTGATTCATCTAATCTGACTGTTCTTGCCGGTACAATTGGCTATTTAGCCCCAGGTAATTTTTTGTTTATCTTCTATTACATCATTGGCTTTTTTTTCTTTTCCTTTTTCAATATTGATCCTCCTTTGATTATATTTGTTTTTTTTTTTTCAAAATTATAGTATTTGAGTGATGATAAAAAAGAAAAAAATCACACATCAATCCTGAACATATAAATATAACAATGAACTTTATATTTATTGTCAATTAATTTTAGGTTAAACATATATTTCAAAATTTAATAGATAGGGATTTAAAATAATAACTAAACATTATTACTAATTATTTTTTTATTAGGTTATCATGTTTTATTTTTCTTTTTCATGCATGTAATTTGTTTATGCAGAACTAGCCTACACAATTGTTGCAACTGAAAAATGTGATGTATATAGTTTCGGGATTTTGGCATTAGAAATATTAATGGGAAAGCATCCTGGAGAACTTTTGTCATCATCATTGTCATCGCCAACTTCTTTGCAAAATATCAAGCTAATTGATGTGTTAGACAAACGCCTACCACCTCCAACAAGCCAACTGGTTGCACAAAATATTGTTCACGCTGCTACACTGGCATTTGCTTGCTTACATACAAAACCAAAGTCTCGACCAATGATGGAACAAGTGTGCAAAGGGTTTCTTTCTTCCCAAAAATCTTTGGGGATTCCTCTCCAAATGATTACTTTGTTGCAACTTGTGAACCATCAAGTACTTATTGGTGGCCAAAGTGGAACTTGTCCCGTTTAATGCTGCTAACTAACTAACTTCGTTTGTAAAATTTTTTATATATTTGTAGTTTATGGTTATTGTCATCTCTTGTTGTTTAATCCTACTATGAAATAATCAGAAAATTTTGAATATGCATGCAATTCACGTGTATTTGTTTAAAATCGGTCCCTTTTATCCTCTTAGTCGTTTTGTTTAATTTCACTTTGGAATTACTTGATTTAACCAGGCCATATTTGATCACTCTAGAGTAAAAAATTCATATTTACTTCTTAATAAAATAATATTATATGATGATATGATATTTATATATTAATAATACATCAAACATTTATTAAAGAAGTAGTAAAAGAAATCTTGAACGAATAAAGTTTTAATTAAATTAATTTATGTAGTCATTTTAAAAAATAACATATAATAATTTTAGAATTAAAATATCAATACTTACAATTTCTCTTATTTTTAAATTAAGACTCGTAATGCTTTTATTTTTGTTTTTGAGATCATTCACAAATACAAAACAAATTAACCGGCAATTGAATATTAAATTTGATTGTCAACGAAAATATTTTTAATAGAAAATATCGTATCGTTAAAGTAGGGGTCAATAATAGCCGAAATAAGTCAATATAATACATAAGTAACCAAATTGTAATTGTTTAAGCTATTACTCCTACTTTATAGCTAGCATCATGCCATCAAATTGCTCAATCATGCAAAGGGCCGAACTTTGATAGAAGCATGAGGATAATCACTTTGTCTCATTATGAATATTTTATAATCCTATAGTTGCAATAACTTGATTGCTTTCTTGTAAAGTTAAAACTCAACTCTTATCTTCTTTTTATTGTTCATTCAAAGCTACTAAACATCATTTGAAGTTTTGAACTAAAACTTGAGCGGTACCTAATTTAGAATTTAATTAATTAATTAGTTGTCTTAGACAACAAAAAAGTCTTGGCATCAATTTTTTTGTGCTTGATTGCTTAAATTTTTTTATGTTAAAATTATTAAAATTAAAAATTTAACATTTTATCAATATATTACTTAATTATTGGTATAGTTAACTAAAATTAAAATGCTGTTTACTTTTATGTTCTAAAAAATCCAACTAAAAGGAAAATGTCACTATGATTGTGAAGTTTAAGATTCCAACAAGAGTGCTTCAAGAGTGGAAACAAAAAGGAAAAGACAACACAAAATCAAAATTGCACAAATCTATTTAAATTACGTGGGTTGTCTGTAGAGTCTAGACCCATTTGGTCCACAAGGGATGAATGAGATGATTAACAAAATTATCCAATTAATTTAAGATCAATAAACGCATTAAATTAATCAATAAATAAATAGCACGAAAATTGATGTGATCTGGGATTTTGAGAGTCTTCATCTCTTGAATGTTTGAATTAACCTGACCAGTTTCCTTTCTTCATTCCCAAAGTAAAACCCACGTTGTTGTTAGCTGGTAATGGACGTTGGACATCTAAAATAGGTCCAATCGTGAATAATTTTGTCCAAAATACTTTTAAACCTAGTTGACCTAACACCCACACATCAAACCTTTTAACTATATATCTCTTCATGGTTGGAACAAACAAACTCTGGCAACAAATGCTTTCATTACCATGAATTGAGTAATCTAGCTTGTGAAGTAAAATTACCAAAAGTAGATCCATTCATTATTATAAATTTAGAGTTTAACTAAATTGGTTTATATGATCATATTTAACAAATTTAAAATTCAAATTTTAACATCTATAATTCTTTATCCTATGTTTCTTTTATTAAAAGAATGATTAAAAGTGCAATCAAAAGATGATGTCTCAATTAAAATTTCATTGGCCATATCAAATGTAAGAAGAATTTCCATATCAGTTGTATCAAGAATAATCTATTCTCCTTTGGTTATAGCCCACTATGATAAGACCCATTTTAAGTAAACCTGAAAGTCTGGACAATGATCCTGGGTAATCTTTGAATATGGGCTAACTATTTAGGAAGGTTTCTCCAAGAATTAGTGCTTGGACTATGAACAGCGACTGCAATGAGGGTTTCAACTTGTTGGTAGCATGGTTCCAAATGACAATATTATTATCCCTCCAAAGACAGATTATGCCATTAATGCAAGAATCCTGAATATGAATGTACTAAGCAATTCTATCAAAGAAATTCGGAATTAGGTCGAGATGTTAAATTTCTCTGACAATCTAGTTAGAATCTCAAACATTACGTTCTTAGTTAATTTGACAATAATAACAATTGAGTATTTTCGAATGTGCTTAACAAATTAAAAAAAAAAAAAAAGAGTAGAAGAAATAGATTAATCTCTTCATTTTTTTCCTTTCTATTTTTTTACAATTTTTTCAATAACATGATTCAATTTATAAAAAAATAAAAGTAAAAAATAAATGATTAAAAATAAAAATGTGATATTCATCTAATTACAGAAACAAATCTTTGAGTATTTTTTCATGTATAATAATATTCAATTTGTTAATTTTACATAATTCATTGTATTTTATGATTATATATTACAAAAACTAATCTAACACTAACATGTCAGGCAACCGTGGTTGGTGTTAATTTAACTTTTGACTATCAACAAATCAATTTTAATACAAAAGCAAATAAAAATTATAAGTAAAATCCATTATAATAAAATGTTAAATAAAAAATTTGATTATTTCAATTTTGGGACATATTTAATTTCTTTTGTTGCCTCAACATAATTGATTAATTACTAGTAATGATTGAATTTCATTAATTGATTAAAATTAACAAAAGAATTTAAACTTATCTTGATAAAATTTGGAAAGTTACATCCTAATAAATTAAGTACAATTGTTAAGCTATATGCTGCGAAACATGCCATTGCCATTGGTATCCACTAGCAATAAAACAAAAAGGAGCTAGTGTAATAATACATATAAATGACAGTTGAGGATCTTTTTGGCAATTTGACCATAAACGGAGTTTTTAAGGTAATTAAATATTTAAAAAAAAAAAAACACGAAAAATATTGGATTATCATTATCTACTCCCCTTCATTTCCACTGCAACTTTAGCTTCAAAGAAAAAAATTTTATTTGATTTCTTTAGTTTTTTCCCTTTTTGGTAATTTCTATAATTTATCATAATTCACAATTAATTCACAAAAATGCAAGTTCTAGTTTGCAGCAATTCTTGTTCATTAAACCTTAACAAAAACAACGGTAAGAGCCACTTGTTCATGGGTTGTCGCGAACTCTTGTGTGGATTATGTTCCACTGGCTCCCATAAAGACAACGTTTCTCACAAACCCATTTCCATTTTAAGGTTAGTTTTCACGTTTCCTTCGATAAATTCTGCTAATCTTTTATACCCATTTAGCTTTTGCTTGGTGAAATGAATAAAGTTCTTTTTTTTTCTTATTGCTTTTTTTTATTTATTTGCCTCATTTTAATGTGGGTGTAATTTTTTCTAGTACTTATGAGAGTATTTGTGCTTGTTTTTCATGTGTATGTATGTATATTCATGTATGTGTTTATGTACGTATCAGTGTATCCGTTTATATATACATAGAAGCATCATTAAAATGTGAGTATTGGTGTGTGTGTTTATCAATCAAAGCATCATTATGTATGTGAGTTTAGATGCATCTGGTTATGCATGTATGTGAGCGTGTATGAATGTCACTATATACAAATACACGTGTGTTATATTCATATATATACTTGCATGTGAAAATTTTTCTGTTTTTCTTTATTCAACAAAGTGAATGCTAGTAGTAATGGCCAAGATTGGTAATTTATGTACTTGTCATTCATGTTACAAAAAATGATTTCAACTTTCATTTTTTCTTCAGTTCTCATTGGAGTTATTATTATTATTATAATATTTTTGTTGATTGATGCTTTTAGGTTGGTTAATGAACGAATGGCGGATTTGGGTGAATTAATAATAGGCAAAAGTATTCCCTTTGCAACAAGGAGGGTGCTGCTAGCAAGTCTTTTTGCCTATTGGAGTTACCATTTTTCAAGGTACTTATCAGGTCTGCACACTTCAGCTTTGGTTTCCCCTTTGCCACTTTAAGAACTTGATTCACATAAATCGATTTTGTTGCTCAATGAAGTCTTCCTTATTTTATTGATAATTTTATTTAAAAGATTGCATTATCATTGACAACTAAACTTACTCATGTAAATGAGTTGAAATATGGTGTCATCCATTTGAATGCACTCGCCAGTAAAACTTATAGCAGTAGTAAACTGGCAACTACAGATTGGTGGGCAACTAAGCCTTCATTGTTTTGAAAAGGTGCAAAAAAGTTATAATTGGAAACCATGCTGGTGAAAGGATTTGGTGTAGGTGGCCACTTCAAGTTAATGTTATTCCTTCCTTCTTACTATCTCTATACTTTTAAGCAATTTGCTTCTGATGATGGGATACATTGTGGATTTGCAGCTCAAGCATTGGGGAATCCATCAGTGATGGTTGAAGGTGTAACTCCTCCTGTTTTCCCTTTTGGATCTCTCTTCCCTTCTGAGGTTCATTTTCGATAAATCATTGTTGTTTTGGAATTCAGTGATTAGTTTATAGTTTCGAGCTCTTCTGTACTGGTATTTACCATGTGTTAAGCTTATACATATGAATTTGACAGGAAAGAACTGTCCAACTCTTTGAAAAGAATACATACTCTGTTGTCAACATTTTTTATATAACATTGCGCCCTCAACTTAATGTAACTGGTGCTGTTGAGGTTTTTTTTTTTTTTATTTTCATTTGATCAATCATTGTCCGTAATCTTCTAATTCATAGAGGCAAGCTTATGATAGAGGAGGCTAAGAAACTCTTTATCTCTCTCTTTTTCTCTCATCTATACACTCAAAGCTATCTGTGTCATAATAAATAGATTCGAAAATCTATAATTAGACTTAATAAATAGAGTCGCCATCAATCTTTTTTAATTAGGTGTGATTGGCTACCTAATGAATCTATCTTTTTAAGGAGCTCTTAAGCTTGACTAAGGGTTCCTAAAAGAA